CTCTCTCTCTCTCTCTCTCTCTCTCTCTCTCTCTCTCTCTCTCTCTCTCTCTCTCTCCCTCTCCCCCTCACTCAACTGACGCACCTCCCTCCTGTCTAACCTTTCGTGTGCACTGGCCCCGATTAGTCGTCACTTAATCGTTACCGGATTACTCTGCATCTCTTCCCATCTTCTCTTCCTCTTTTCTCTTTCATTTTTGAAGGAGAGGCCGCGCGCGCTAACTACGTCATCGTGTCCCAGTGAGTCACGGCTTTTAAATTGATCCCCTCGCTCTCCCCCTCACCCTGACGTCCATCTTCTCCCGCCGTTATGCAGCGGCTACTCTATCTCCGATGTAGCCGCTTACTCCTCTCCATGCGCACGTGAATCGGAAAATGTCAATTTATTCAAACGCAGCCTTCTCGCACAATTGTCCGCTCTGGCCAATTCAATGAACCTCCTCTCCAATCTTAATCTTAATTTTCAACGATATTACGTTTAACCCGTTCGTATCGTCATTCTCAAAAGAGTCTCACTCACAATGAATCCGATATTACCATTACTGTCTTCTACACTTGAACGAAAATGAATATAAGCAATGAATACTTCTTGGTAATCAGCTGCTTCCAATGCGCATATTTTTCATTATTCTCGATTTGATGCAAAGAGAATTGTTTCTCCCTCAGAGACAATTCCTCAATCTCTTTCTTCCCCTATCTAGCAGCTACCCTCTTTTCTCTTCGCCGTCAATCCCGGTCTCGCTTGCGTGCCTCAAGCTCGCCTCCGACGAGTCCCCAGGCCGATCGACTACTCGATTTCTGGTATGTCGATTTTCCAGCCGGAAATGCATATCCCGCGGAATTGCTCGTGACTACGGCGTGGACGGTGTCTAGCGTGTGGTCGTTCAATAATTTAGCAAGGTTACGGCTACCACCAACACCGCCGTGGTAACCACCGTCCTCGATGGAGCTCGTAAGAAAATGATCGATCATGCGATACAACCACAACACGAATATAAGATAATCCCTCTCTCGATGCTTTGCGACCGCCGGTTCGCTCGTCAATCCCTTCCCTCGCGTGCGTGCCGTTGTCACAGTCGGGCGGTATTATAGCCACGCTATTCCGAGTATCTGCGAAGTAGGCAGCATACCTGCGCCTACGAGGGTTGGAGTTTTTAAATATGACGTGCAGAATTCTCCGATACTTTGTGCTTCGGAGCCGCGCGCTAATCCATTTCTCGCTGCGACGCTCTGAGCCGGTTTTGGAATTGGATAACTACTTGTTGATGCGCTTTACTTCCGATGCATGTGATGTGCATTGTGTATCGCGAAGTATGCATCGACACCCAACTTAATCGATACATCGAGTATCTCTGAATATCTTTTTCTTTCTTTTCACGATGAGGCGAGTAAAAAAACGATTGGCATTTTCGACGAGAGCGGAACGTCGTCGGGATGGAAGAGGTACTGGATTTGGAAACTACTGATTCGAATGCCAAGCTCGATACTTGGCGAACTCGACAGCGGCATTTTTCTCGATTACGGGGAAAGGGATTTGATGAGCTGGCGATAGCTACAGGATCGCGGGAACAATTGCGAAGGTCATTGGTCAAGCGGATTTACGCCGATGGTTTGCAACTCGGCTAATAGGATTCGATAGTTCTCGGCACGCATCCCGGTTTCTAATGTTACCTTCGAGCGCACGTGGGCGTTTGTTTAGTTATGTAATAGCGCGTATGTCATGCGTTCGACGCATTGATACGACGTGAACTCCGCCGGCCTCCGTAATTTCGTCGGAATGTCAACGGATTTGCCGATCTGCGTCCTGGCATTCGTGTGTGCGTGCGCGCCGCGCGTTTGAATAGCGCGCCCAGCCAAATTCAATTTCTCTTTGCAACGTAAAGGGCCTTCTGGGACGCTTCAGCGTTAACGCGCGCGTCTATCCCTTTGGCCTCCGGCTACGAAAATGAATGGTCGAGCCGAAACGTCAATAGTGTAATGACATAGAACGCCATTAATACCGATATCTTCTTGGGAAACGAGACTGCGAAGTTGAACGGAACCGGCTGATTCGTTCCGCCGACCGTAATCGTCTTTAACTATTGACAATTTGATCAGCTAGTTATTCAGCGGAGCCTACTTTCGCGGAGATGAATAGAATTAATCGTTCGACTCACCGTTATTAAATTGAGCTGCCGCTAACGCGCTTTTATTTCGCTTCCTCCCTCCCAACCCCGACTGCGATATCCCTAAATCGTGCGCCTATTCCGTTATCGATTATACTATTGTTTGACTAGTCGCATTCGATTAGCGGGAGCGCGCTCACGCAAGATAAAGGACATGGAACCAATTTCTACGGAAACTCTTTCTCTCTCCCCCTCTCTCTCTCTCTCTCTCTCTCTCTCTCTGTATCTCATCTCGCGGCCCGGTTTGCGACCTGCTCGCATAGTGCGATGACTTGAATGGCGTAACAGATGTGTAGCCCAAAGTTCACAACCGCGTATAGTACCCTGACATTTCTGACCGTTTCCAGAAAAGGTCAATCGATATAGAGAGCAGCATTCGAGTTGCGCGCTTATGGATAAGTCGGATTTTCCGCTTCGTACAAGCGCACCCTTCTGTCCGCCATCCCAAACTTCGACGACTTTTCCTTGGCGAAAAAGCGACGTAAATGCGCGGAAATAGCCGGACGGGATGCCGTTAATAGCGACAATCGTGAACAATTGGGAGAATATCGCGGTCTGAACTGGCGCGAGGTTTCGCCGGAAGATTTCGATCATTTTGGTGTCGCGATACTAGGACATTCTCCGAAGATATCCTCAGCGTTAAAAATGCCATGAGGACAATAATAATCTGCGTCCTCGAGACGTCGAGACGGAATGAATCAGCAACGAGTTGAGCGGGGAGCTCTCGTTATTTATTCGCATCCCCGAAGTTGAGCGCTTGAATTTTCGACCGCTCATAGTTGGAGAACTGTCGAGCGAATTCCAAATTAGTCAGAGTAATCCGTAATTGAAATTAAAGCGACTCGAGTCGCTGTTTAGCGCGTCGACTACAACTCAGTCTCAGTGCTTCGTCCCGGAAAGGAATTTTCACTCGCCAACGGAACCATCCTTTTCCCTCTTCCTCGCGACAATGTCCCGACAGGTATTCCGGTGCCAACGCGCTCGTGTTGTTGCCAAAAATATATTTCTCAGTTACTATCTTCACCATTCCCCCTCCTTTTCCCTTGCCTCTCCGTCACCAATCTGAAATTACGCTCCCGTGAGCCATAACTTTTCCGCGGATTTCTTATTATCCTGCTCCACTTCCGGTCTTAACAGCAATCAGTCGGAGTGCTCTATTCGACCTGAAACCTCATCCCGAAAAGAAAAGGTTCTGTCATTTTTAATCTTTGATCGTAGTGGTCGTTGAACCAGCGTATATAACCGCGCGCTCTCGGGGTAGAACGTCAGAATGCAAAGATGTGTCGTTGTGTATACGTGAAGTGCGTTGTATTTACTTGCTATACAGTACAACGGCAGAAGAGAAGAGTATCGATGTCTTCATCGTGCGCTTTTATCCGCGTTACGTCACTGTCGCGTAATGCCAAGGATTTCGTAAGCAACCGATTGTAATATCGAGTAATCGACGTGATACTTTCAACGCATAGCATAACGTCGCAATTACTGAGGCGCTTCGTGTAACGAGTGCCAGGGGTTATCGAATCCACTTACTTCCCGTCGATGAATAATAGATGGAGGCTGTTCGATTAAATATGATAGTCGAGGCTTGCAGCTCATTATTTCCTTCTCATTGGCCCTCCTTTCGTCCCAAGCTTGCACCTCATTATTTTCTTCTCTCCTTACAAAGCCGGCGACTCATTATTTTCTTTTCTCTTCTCCATTTTTTCACTAATGTAACTCTGTACCTCGAAAGAAACCAACGATTCTTCGGTGTTATTCCTTTATTTAGAAATTATGTCATCAAGAGGTGATATCAACTACATATAAAA